GGACTGTGTCCCATAAACACACCACCACGGTTCCCGGCATGACACCGGCATCTTAGCGGACTGTGTCCCATAAACACACCACCACGGTTCCCGGCATGACACCGGCATCTTAGCGGACTGTGTTCCATATACACACCACCATGCTTATCAGATCCTGACTGCTTCCCGTTTCAAAAAAGGAAACAGAGGTTAAAAGAAAAGTTTATCTACACAACCCCAATGGGTCTTGACAAGCCCAGGTATAGGAAAGCTTTGTTACGAACCTCTACCCTAAAAAGGCTATTGATAAACCTTTAAAATGCACTTCCATGGAGGCCAGCAGATGGCATAGCGGTTACATCACTGGACTTCCACGTGGCAGCCTGCCGTTCAAGTCCCAGACCCAGTGGCTTGAGCCCAAGACCTGGGGAGGAATGGAGAGCAGATTGTAGTGTGTGTGGCCATCTCACCCAGGGGGTGATTCCTCACTTTTCCTCTCATTGTCTCTGCCCCACCTCATTTCCCTCCACCCCCAGGGCTCACACCCTAAGGAAAAAACCTCTTAAAAAAAGAAAAAAGAGCACTTCTGTGGTCCAGTCTCTGGTTTCAGATTTTCATTAGCTTCATTGTCAAGAAATTCTTCTAGAATTCTAATCAAAACCACTGAATTTAACTTTTGTTCTACTGTTCTTTCACAGATTTTGTCTTTACATGGAACAGTACGTCAACTTTCACCTTCCCTTTCTCTTATCCAACCTTCAGCCTCTCCGCAGGACGATTCCCTTGTAATAGCCTTTCCCAAAGTGTGTTCTGCAAAATGAATCCCATTGGGCATTAACAGAGGTCAAGAAGAAAGGACCTCATGGTTAAATATACTAGGGAAACGCACAACTCGAAAAGGAGGCTGGTTTTGTAATGATACGCCTGCTCTGTTAACACGCTTCGTGTTTTACGGAGACCCAGGCGCTGTGACTGTCCCAGACCCACCTGGGGAATGCAGCTCTGAACACACCTTCTCTCTCAGACCCTGTAGCTAGACTGCATTGTTTTTTAAAACAAATGAAGTTCCAGTATTTTACCTAAGGGCAGAAATTCCATGAGAAAAAGACTTTGGTTATGTTGAAAACGAACATAAAAAAAATAGAGTTAAAACTACCAGGGCCAGCTCCATACCCCAGTAGTTAAGGGGCTTTCACACAGCCAAGCACAGTTCAAGCCCCAGTCCCAGCTTCCTGAAACACATACCTGCACATGGGTATGCGTGCCCCAAATCCTGACAGATGAAGAAAGGGAGGTGGAGGAGAAGGGATCGTGACCATGCCCCATAGGGATGTGGGGTGGGGGGGAGGCTTTCTCTCCACCTTGCCCCACCCCATTTCTCTCCAGTGAGTACACACACCCTTTGGCAGTTATAGACCATGAAAATTAAAAAAAGCAAAAGACAACTCTGCCTGATATCCAGCACCCACAGCAGTACCTGGCACAAGGAAGATTCTCAATAAATACTCCTTGATTCAACAGGATCAGAGGGTGACCTCATGTTAAAAGAATAATTTTCTAATATAGACCCTCTTATTTTTTTGGAGAGTTTTTTTTTTTCTTTCTATAGAGTGCGTGCACTCGCCAGAAAGACAGAGAGACATAAAGTGAGAAATCACCCCCAGGGGGGAT